ATGCCAACTAATAATAATAATAATAATAATAATAACAATAATAATAATAATAATAATAATAATAATAATAATAATAATAATAATAATAATAATAACAGTAATTTAAAACTTTTTTAATTTATTGTTAATTTTCAATAATATTAAGAAGATTATTACTTACTGAGATTCATCATAAGGCTGCTTGCATAAGCAGTATAATTCTTGTGTATCTCGTGCATGTCTACATTCTGTACAAACAAATTCAGAAAGGGATTTACTCATTTCTTCAGTAATACCAACACAGTCTCCATGGAACCAATTATTACACAAGTCGCATCCCACATAGAACCTTATTTAAAAATAAATTAATTAAAATTTAGTATAATTATATTATTAATGAATAGCAAATAAATGTGAATATGCACCGAAGTAATTACATATAGCACGTACACACAGTATTTAGTGTGCTTACTTTGTTTCATCATACGGTGTCCTACAAAGACAGTATAATTTTTCTTTTTTAATTCGACTTGGAGTTGTAGCAGATGAAGCACTAGGTAATACATTGCTGTTTGCTTGTGCCTTATGTTTTTTTGGTCTTCCACCTCGATTTGGTGGGCTAACCTGTTGTGCTATTTGAGCATTAGCTTTACGTTTTGCACTTCCTACTTTTATTTCATCTTGTTTATGTCTTTCTGCTTTAGTTCTTGTTGCTAATTTTACTGATAGGTCCTTCTAAAATTGTAATTTGTATATAATGATAATGAAAATATAAAATACATATATTTTTTTACTATTAATTGATAAAATTAGAAAGTACCTGAATATCTATTTTTAATTCTTTTTCAAGTAATGATCTCTTTTTAATTAGATCTTTTTTCAAAAGTTCTTTATGTCGAAATAATAAAACTTGCATTCGTGATTGTGCTTGTTTCTTTCTTTGTTCTTGACAGTCTTTTAATTTTACAAATCGATTTTTTGGTGAAGCTTCATTGTCTATTTGTTCAGACGACTTCTGTATTCTATCAATGTACACAAAATGAATAGATGATAAATAACAATATGGGATATTATTGTGATTATTTGTAATATTGTACAATTTTATAAAAAATCAATATTGTACAATATCATAAAAAAATGTTAATAGTTATATTAATTCTTCTGCTTACTTCGGGATTTCACGATTCTCTTGTTTTATTGCTGACTTTTTTTTAGGAGTTTCCACCCAATCGGTGTCGATTTCAGTTGTTACTGATGGAATGTTGGAGGATACAGGTCTTTTGCGAGATGCAGAACGTGGAGTTTGATTGTTAGCTGCTGAACTCGCTGACCCTTTGATTATATTCTCTTGATGTTTGTTTAGCCGAATTAACTTCTCTTCTATTTCTGGTGAATGATCTTGTGCTTTCAATGCAGATTTGATTGCTAAAATAAAATAAAAGATTAATAGATACTTGTTTTTATGCTTGAACATTGTTGACTAGTCACAAATCAACTTTTGTTTTTATACTTAAATGTTGCTTACCAATCATTAATTAATATTAGTTGACACTTGCATTAATCATTTCAATTTTTACATCTCAGGATATTATAGGATATTATACAAATTTATTATTAAAAATTATAGATTTTAACAAATTCAGAAAATTGCATAAAAAATATGTCTAAAATTTTATTTTTGTTCATGATGTATAAATAAAATATATTGAAGTTTATTTAAATTGTTTTATTTTCATACTTAATTAAAAAGTAATAAATAAAAGTAAAGTAAGTAAAAGTAAAGTCTGTGATATGAGATAACTTCTGTATAGTATTACTGGTCAACAATGTGTCAAAGTTAAATTGTATCAATATGATTGGATAAATACTACATAGTAATGTTCTTATTTACTATTAAATACATGGTACATACTTTGGTATACAAATTCTGGCGTAGGAACAAATTTTTCATCTCTAGCTACATTTTGCACAGATTCTGATGATTCCTCTCCATTATTATCATTTATATTCTGAGGTTCTTCTGTAACAATATTATTGGCACGATCAACCTGTTGAACAACCACTTTTGGTTTTTCAGGAGTATTTGGTACTGAAGCTTGTTGAAGTTCTGGTATAGATTCTATATCAGTTTGAGGTTCTAAAACATAAATTTGACTGTAACTACTGTAACATACATATCTTTGTGACATATGTAAAAAGAAGAAATGTACCTGTTGCAGGTGGTGGGGAATCAGTTGGATGTTGTACTTGTTGTTTTGATGTAGGAACAGTAGGTGTACTTGCTGTCGTAGATGGTGTTTCAGATGTCGTCTGTGCATGTTGACTTCCTGGTGCAGGTTGAACTGCTAAATAAATTTTTGTAGAACCTAAGACGACTTGCTTTCCTTCAGTTTGTTGAGCTATATATTGCAAAAGATTATTAAAATATTTATTTCTGTATATTATTTTAAAAGTGTTTTTATGCGTTGTTATTTTTATAAATATATTAAGTATACCTTTGCGTAATTGATTTTTTACTTGCTCTTGTACCATAGCAAGTTGCTGTGGCGTAAAATCTGCTCCCGTCAATCCTTGCAAAAGTATTTTTGGCCCTTGTGTTGTCGGCATTACCTGAGCTGTAATACATTTTATCACTGTACCTGCTGGTTGATTCTCTAACAAAGAAGCTTCTATGCTTCCAGGTGCTGGAGCGGTAGGATTAGCAGTAGAAGTAGTCAATTTATTAGGAGTAATATTTGCACTAGTTGTTTCAGGTGTTTGTGCAACTGTTGATGCTATTCTTTGAGTAGCTTGCAATGCTGGAACTGTAAAAATACATAATAAATAATATCATTTCATAATCTTACTTGATAAAAAATAATGTAGATAAAAAGGAAGTTACCTTGTTTATTTGATGAAACCGCATTTTTTACTACAATACTATTTGATGGATTTAAATGTACAATTTGATTTCCTGTTGGTGTACTACGAATTACAACTTGATGTCCACCAAGTGTTGTTAATTTTCCGGATGCAAGTTGTTGAGCCAAATTAGCATTAGTGACTACTATCTGATTTCCACTTAGGATTTGACTACCCGGAGATATTACCTATACATTAATTCAAACATTACTAATAAATGAATGATGTATTTAACAAAACATTATTTGATATTTTAATAATTTCATGTGAAATTAAAGAATATAAAATAAAACACATATATACCTGCGCTCCTTGTACAATTTGACCAGTATTGGCAACAACTATTGTATTCTTTGGAGATTGTGTAGAAGCAACATTTGCTATTGCTACAGTAGAGGATTTTCCACCTTTTTGTACTGCTTGTTGCGACTGCAGTTGTGATTGTTGTGATGTTGATACTTGTGACGAAATAACTGCAAGTTTAGCTGGACTATTTTTATTAGAAGCACTTGATGTAGAAACTTTAGCTGTATTAGCTGTTACAGTTTTAGCCTGTAATCATACATTTTTACAAATAATTAATAACTTTAGGTAATTTGTTGTTTGTGATCTGTTAATTTATAAAATAGGAAAAACAAATACCTGTATAGTCGATGTACTTGAAGTAGTACCCGTAGTATGTGTAACAGCAGAAGTAATAGTTTGTGCTGTATTCAATACATGCAATTTTCCATCTGGCATCTGTACTAATTGTTGACCAGGCATTAACCCACGAACTTGTAATTTACCATCGGGTCCTCTTAAAATTTGTACCCTTTGTTGTATGTGCTGAACAGTGCCTGTAGATGTTCCTACAATGATGTTTTGAAAAAAATATTAATAAATTATAAAATTCTACATATTAATAAAATAAAATATATTTAAAATCAATTTTTTACCTGCTGAACCTGCAGCTTTAATTAAAGACTGTTGTTGATTTCCTGATTGGATTTGAGATGTCTTTGGTAAAATACTTGTATGCCCAGAAACAACCTTTGTTGTTCCATCGGCAGCTAAACATTTAATAGTGACAATTATTATAATAATACCATTATTGTTATACATCAAAATAAAGGATACAAATTTTATAATTTACTTACCTTTTGCCATATAAATACGTCTTGTTCCGATAAAGGTTTTATTTTGAGTTGGTGTTGTTAGAAGTGAAGTTAATTGCGATTTACTTCCACTATTTGGATTTGCTGGTATTGCAACTTTAGAAATTAATTTAACTGAACCATCTGTAAAAACAAATCAAATATTTGAAACTCTATTTATCAATTATAAATCATAATATTCAAATCATAGTATAATATTACCATGGCCAGAGTTAGATGTAACTTTAACAAGTTGTGTGTTCGGGGAAGCAGAGTTAGCTGGATTTTTAAGAGTTTCTAAAGCTCTTTTTTGTTGATGAGCAGCTCTTTGCATACGCAACTGTTGTTCCATTTTTTCTTTAATTTCTTCAGGAGTAGCTTTACCACTAACAAGTTGATCAGAATTGGTTCCAGAATTTCTGTTTTGACCACCAGCAGATTGTGGCACACCCGAGCGACTCCTAGTAATAATCTGGGCATTAGCCTTCTCTAACCTGAAGAGATACACACCAAGCGAAGTGTTAGTAAAAAGTGGTGTTAGGCAAGGAAAGGTAATTTTCGATATAACATTCGATTCCTTCTATCTTAATAATATTACATGCTTTTATCTAACTATACAAAAACAAGCAATTTTATGGCAAGCAAACTAAGACATAAAAACATAGTAGTATAGTAGTATAGTAAATAAGATATAATAAATATCTTAACCAAATAAAAGTTAGTAATAAAATTAAAAATAAAAGCAATTATTTTACATCACAGAAGCAGTAAATTTCATTACAATATGCAAATTATCATAAAATATATTACTAACCTATCACCATATTGTTTGATTTCCCATAGTTCCAATTTATCTTCATCAACCCATTCTTCTGTTACTTGTGGTTCAGTGTTTTGAGGTGATTCTGGTCGTTTTCTCTTTCTTAGTCCACTTCTTATAGATGTTACTTCTGTTTAATGAAAAAGAAAAAAAATTAGAATACAATAAAATAGGGCAAGTAATATAAAACCTATTTATAAATACCTCTAATTTGTTTTGGCATTTCTAAAGGTATAACGACTTTCCGACGCAAATATTGTGTTCTGTCTAAAAATTGTCCAACATGACGATGTTTTAGGATCTCCAATGACATAATTTCGGTATCTGTTGTAATTTGATGTTTTCCATCAATAGATAATGGTTTTGCCGCCATATCATCCCAACGTAAACATGCCCATAAGATTCTTAATTGAAGTGCAGCTGCAGCTAAAGATTTTAAACCAACTGTTCGATATATCCAACATGTCTTAAATAATGGTCTGGGGCAAGGATACGGCCAAACTGATAGGTTTGCCTAGGATAGTAAAATTTCAAATAAATAAGATATTGAATGTATTATATAAATATTAACATATATAAAAGAATAATGTAATTTAATACTATAAATTATATATATAGAAATCATCAAATATACGTGCACCCACTCACCTTAGCCATGTGATGAAAACCCGCAACTGATATTCGTCCACCAACTCTGGCTAATTTTCGTAAGTCATGTTTTGGAAGAAGTAAAATACTTCGACGTTTATTTTTTGTACAAAATGTCGAACATAAAGGATATTTTACTGTTGGTCGTTTTTTTTTTCTTTCAGCTGAAGAAATAGCAATTTTTTTTAAATAAACTTTTCCTTCTGCTGAACTGGCAGTATATATTCTTTCAGTTCCATCAGCATTTAGTTCTTTAGCTACTGTACTTCGTTGTACTGTTCTTCCTCTTCTGTTAATAATCGTTGTTTTGGACACTACATTATTTACATTACTAAAAAAAAAATCATATGATTATTATTTAAGGTTTATGATTTCATGATACACGTAAGATGTATATATAAAAAAAAAAAAAACTTCTATAATACCTAGTTTTAGTCTCTGATGAAGGTGTAGTTGCATTATGAGAAGTGCTCTCCTGCATATTTTGTACAATACCGTCAACCGTTTTAATAGTTTGTGGAGTAGTAGTTGTCATATTACTTTTGGTTGTAATTAAAGTTTCCTTTTTATTTAAATTAGAATCATTATCCAATCCCTATAAATAATTATTCTCATTATATGTCATACTATTAAAACGATTCTTATCTTGCTAAATAATAAATCAATAATAATACATACTTTATGTTCTAATTTTATTCTTTTAGCACAAGGCGATGATCCGTCTTTTAAATTTGATAATTTATTTATATTTACATTTGTTGTTTGAAATTCTTCACTACAGTGAGTTGCCGAAGCAACAGCAGATTCCAAATCTCTTCTGATTGCCTCCTTAGCCTCATCATTAGCATCAAGTTTGTTTGATGATATTGGACTATTGTTAAAAACACTTGCCTTTCGAAATAACACTACAAGCTCGCGTTTTAATCTTGCTTTTTGAAGACAAATCGGAGAATAACACGTAGACATTAGACTTTGCGTAGTAATTGCTATTCTTCCTGGTGTAATTGCCGCATTGCAATATCGTGAATAACAACTTCCATTCTTCTCAAGTTTCAAAATGTTTGTATACTGTCCTTTAACTTGATGAAGACGTTTTCCTATTGCATTATACACTTCTTTTGCAGCTGATGGCATTGATTTATTGGATGGTTTACCAGACAGTATGAACTGTAAAGAACTATCTCCACCATCGGTATCACTTTCATCATTATTTTCAACATCAGTATCACCATCTGCTATTTTATGACTTCCTGTTTGACCTATAGGTTCCTTTGTTTTCTCCTGTAAAAAAAAAAAAATATATATTTATTTACCTGTGTCATATATACGATGTTAACAAGTTTTGCGTAAAAAAAAATGAACAACGTAAAATATATACTAACAGATTGTAATAATCTTCTCTCTTCTAATAATTTTAAATGTGTTCTACGTGCAAGAAAATCATCAATTTTAGTTTTCTTCCCAATTTTTGGATAATGAAGTTTCCCAGGTGTAGTTAATGCCTTTGTTATGTCAATTTCTTCAAATTCTTTAATTGGTGTAAAAACTTTTTCAATTTTCATACCAGGTGAATCTAAAAACAAAAAATATATATATATATATATAATTAAGTAATATATAAATAACTGGAAATAAAATATATATGATAACGAATAAAACATTATTCGATATTTATATAATATACTTACAGGGTATATTCACTTTAGTTTCTTTTTTAACTGCTGGTTGTTCTGTTTTAGAAACTGCTACTGGTCCATTTTTATCCTCTTCTTGTTTAATTTCTGCATTTTCTTCAGTTTTAATATTTTCTACCTTAAATTCTTGCTTAATCTTTTTTGTACCGGTATCAGTGGATAATTCGTCATCATTTATTTCTTTCTTGATACTCATTTTATCTATATTAATTTTTTCATCCGGATTTGAACAATATTCTTTAATTAAAAATTCATAAGTTTGTGGGTCCAAGGCTAATATTTTTAATCCTTGTTGATCTTTAATTTGCACCATAATTTTATGCGGCCCTGCTCTTAAACCTAACTTTCTCATGTCGCTAAATCTATATCGTCGACCTGCTGACACCCACAACCAACCTCCTTGTCCATGAACTCTATATTCCTCTCCTTTTTGTTTCCATACTTGATGTTTTAAGCCTAATGTATATTTAACAAAATTAAATGATCTATTTCGTTCTTCTTCGTCTTCTCTCTCTTTCTTTTCCTTTTTATCTAACCGTTTTTTTTCTTCTCGTTCAAGTGCTGTTACCCTTTGCAATTTTACATGTCCAAGTTGGTCATGCCAAACATTAGCAAATACAACTGCTTTTATACATGCTTGTAATACAATAAGTGCTCGTGCAAAGTCTCTTGCAAATACGCAAGAACCTATTGCAATAGTCCATGGTTTACGCAAAAGTGGCCAATTGGTATGCATAAACGGAGCTTGTATACTGCTTTCAAGTTGAAGAATAGTTTGTCGAAGGGTATTAACTAAAAGAGCACGAGTTCCTGTCAAACTTCCAACCCATTTAAATTCTGAAGCTTGAGTAAGAGAAAATTTATGTGATAGGTGACGTTTTTTATCGCGTTCTTCATTTCGTTGAATTTTATTCAAAGCAACAGGATTAGTGCTATACTGATTAACATATGATTTAAAATTGTTGTCCATTCCCAATTTAAAGAGATGTGTACCGGAAGCAATCTGATGTGCTTTTTGTCTAGTCAATCTAGTATTATCTCCTTCTTCTTTCAAACTTTTATCTAACTTTTCAAGCTCTTCTTTAGACATTGAAACTGTACTTCGTCGTTTTAAATCATCCATATTAAAAGTACGAGGTTGTAAAGAACCTGTTTTTGATCTTGTAACTATAGTATGCTTTTTACCTAGAGAAAATAAATTCCATTATATACATGACTATATTAGTTTGTATATAACCATTTTTATAAAAAAAAAAGAAAAAGAAAAGATTAATTTATTAGATAACATACCATCTTTACTTATTTTTGGAACACTTTCTTCTCCTTCTGCTGTTTCTTCTTCCATTTCTTCAGATGATGATACAGTATTAGGTTTCACAGTGTTGTTTGTCACATTAGTATTTAAGGTAGTAGGTACATTAGCAGTAGATCCATCGACTTCAATGTTTTCAGCTACCACTTCTGGTACTTGTGTAGACTCTCGCTCTTCTAATTTCCCTTTATCTTGTTCTGTTGTTGTTGCTAAACGTTCTTCATCAGACCCTTCATGTATCCTGCGTACCATTTCTTCAGCTTCTTGCCTTTGCTTTTCTTTCTTTTCTTCTTCTTCTTTTTCCTGTTTCTCTTGGCGCTCTTTTTGCAGTTTTAGTATAAGACCTATATTATTGTTATTATAATGAATATATTGTTTTTATGTTTCTCAAAATATGTTATACATGTCAATTGCATTATTAATTATTATACAAATGATTATAGTTTCACATAAAAGGCTTAATATATAATACTCACTATTTTCTACTTCCAAGTATGATTTTTTGGTACCCTTGAATTGATTAGTAATTGATTCTGTAAGTTCCATCTGACGTACAATTTCATCTTTATAATCTGATAATTCACGGTACAATGCAACTTCCATTTCAACAGGATCTAAACAGTGCATTAATTCTTCTAATTGTAATGGTGTACTATAATACCAAACTTCTCCATTTTCACTTTCTCTATAACATTAAAATACATTAATATAATGTAAATAATAATAATATAGTTAGAATTCTATGAAAAAGAAAAATTTCTTACACAAAAACTCGTCTTGTTAGAAACCAATATTTTCTCCCATGCCTATCAAAACCCAAATGTTCTTGTCTACATAAGGACCCATTTTTTTCAACATCAGGAATGCAATCAGCAACTCCTGTAACTTTGTGAGTTTTACAGGTACTACATTGCCAATCATCTGTGGGAACGTCAACTAACGGAGGTTCAACACATTCTAAATGAAAAACAGCTGGACAAGTTTCACAGCATAATAAGTCTCCAAGACGGTGACATACTCTACAATGGTCATCATAATGCATATTTCCTACAAGAAATTAAATTATTTTTTTTTTACTTCTATTATGCGAAATTGATATTTTGGATGGATTACACAACAAAATTATATATCCTAAGAATGGAATATAAAAATATCAACTATTTATACAAAATTCAAATTCTTTAAGCCTATTGTTATATCAAACTATAAGACATAAATATTGAAAATTATTTATCAATTTATACATTTTTAATGTTCATTACTAGATGTAAAGAAAAGAAAAAAACAATAATTATAAAATATTAATTAAAAATTATTTTGAATTATCAGCATGGTCACAATAAGTGCTATCCTGCTGAATAAAACAATATAATTGTATGTTAAATTCAATTCTTATTATATATATATATATATATGATAAAATGTAAGATTATTATAATATTTATAATATATTGTGCTTATCATACCTTCATGCAATAAATCTTCTCTAACTGGATTCGTTATAAGGAATTGATCTGTTAAGAATTGCAATACTTTGATTCTATTTTCAATGGATGTAAAAGGATATTCAGAATTAGTTAAAATTTGCAGGACATTTTGATCAAAGCTTTTATCGCTTTCAACATATGATCGTAAAACTTCTGGCCAAGTCATTGAGTCAACAAAATATAAGCTCACATTGACAGAATCTTTTTGATCTAATGGACCAAAATGAGTTTGTTGTGAATCTTCTTCTCGTAGTAGGGCTTTGATTAGCATAATATGAATCTCAGCTAATAAATTAGTTTGATCTTGACACATTAGGGCTGCGCAAAAGTCTTCAAATCTGAACGAAGAAAGACGCACTAATGAACGGAAATGTCTTAAAACCTCATAAATGGAAAGAGATGGCATTACAAGTCCCTTAGGAACCAATAGGTCATCTGAAGATTTTGGTGGAGTAAGAGGAGGAAGGTCTCTGTTCTGTAGCCATAATGGTTCTGGACTTGGTTGTCGTTGTTGACTCGAAAGAGTTTTGCGTGGTGTACCACTTGTCGTACTATAACTAGAGAGAGAAAAATCACTATCGCTTGATGGATCAGGTTCTTCTATACTCTCAGAAGATTCTAAGTCGCTTTGAAGAGGATCTTCTTCAACTTCACTCTTCTCACTGGATTCATCACCAAAATCAGATCCATAGTGATATTCAGAGTCATTGTAATCCACATTTGGATTGTAACCTCGGCGTTGATATGCACCTGAACTAGAATGACCACCTTTACGTGATTGTCTATCCTTTGTGATACGAGTTTTTCGATTTCGTGTGCTACGTCTGGTTTCTTCACATTCAATTGGTGAAGAAGGTCTTGATACTGTTGGTGTAGCCGGTTGTGAATTTTGCGATTCTGAATCCCTGTTTTGCAAATACTTTGGCTTCTTCATAAGGTGATATTGAAACTTTTTGGGCCTTTCCATGACCACCGACTTTGGTGGCCGGCCCCGTCTCTTGGTACCTCTCCCCGTCATTGTCTTTCACTAACTGTCAAAAAAATGGCACTTACTTAACACGTGTTTTGTGAAAAGGCGCGCTTGTAAACAAATACAAATAACACCGCAGTAACGAAATGGATCCCATGTTTGTACTCTGATCTTTGCGCCATTTTTCGACTATGGTCACGTGACCAAACACAATTTTTTCATTATTAACGTCCCGTTGGGATCTCGTAAATCTACCCCTCGATACCACTGATCAACAACTACCACTTCTTCCTTTTGATAAAAAAGATTTACCAGCAATAACGACAAAACGAAGTACGGAATAACTCGCTGACGCGGAATGTAAGGGGAATTTACAACACCGCCTTTTCTAAGAGAGCGCTTCTCCAATTGGTTCGTTAAATCGCCGCCATGTTAGTTCCCGAAACGCATTTGTTGCTAATATAGCTAAAATCTTAAGAGAAACTCGACGTTTTTCTTTTTACGAAGGTTCCTAATATAGTACACGAAATTCTAAGAAAGACCGATCAGTTAAAACTCAACTAAACATAAGATTTTCTTATTTTTCCGTATTAACGTAAAACGTACGCAAGATCCAATCTCTTGCTCTGTAACTACAAAGGATTGTATTGAATCAACCATAGGTGGCGTCATGCGCGTTTAAAAAAAAAACGCGATTCTAACCGCACTTCCGACAAACCGTTGTCCTCACCTTTATTCAATATGAGATTGTGATTACACATTCGTCAAAATTATATATCAGTCACTATTAATTAATTTTCTTTCAACACTTTTGATAAAAGAATGACTGATTCATACACAAGAAACAACCGGACCCGTGAAAGATCTGCAAATCTAACCTTAGTTTGATAGAAGCTTCGACAGAGGACACCACTTTGACCAAATCAATGACCGCTTTAAAAAATATACATTTAAATATAATGTCTAATTAAACAATATAAATTATATTTTTTCTAATACGTAAAATTCATGATGATACATTAGTTCAATAGATTATTCTATCATTTTTCTTTTACACATATTAAAACAAGTATTAACAACCACGCCATCTGTATAAAAGAAAATTCAATGGCAAGAAATCTCACCAAGTTTGAATATATTTTATTCTAATTAGCTTTAATTTAAAAAAAAAATCAACTATTAAACAAACATTATTTGCCGTATTTACAATACTAATAAAATAAATTGCTATAATATCTACACATTTGATTCTAGTAGTCAAGCATAGTATGACGGAAAATACAAAGTAAAACATTGAATATATGATAATAGATATTTCTTACTTTACATTCAGTGAAGATACGATTTTAATACGAAAATATTAATAAAATTAATAACAATCAATTTATATTGAAGTTTGGTCAACAACTTAATAACTTTCGATATGAAAGAACTTTGAATAATTATGTAAAAATAAAATCTTCAACTCTTATGAACTTTTAATTAAGAACTAGTTTCTATAATAAATCATTAGTATAAAATATTATACAACATTTAAATTTTAAGAATTTTCATCTGTCTTTTCTTTTAGTTTTCTTTTCAAAGAAGTATAAATAAAAAAAGGTAAAAGATTTTTAATGAAGTTACAACAACGCCATCTATGCTTGAAAATGTCTGTATAACGGATGTAGTAAAATTTGACATGAGGAGTGTAAGGAGTGGAGAGGGGAAGAAAGATGGTAAAGAGAAATAGAAGCAGACAGAAACAGTCAATAAAAATGGCTGCCTAACAAGTTCGATAAATACGAAACGAGTATAAAGTGCGAACGAATCGACGAACACGTGCAACGTGATTTTTCTATATTCAACATGAGACTGACTGAAAGAAGCGGCGAAACAACGATGTATTCAATGAAACCGGTCATTTCTTTGCCCAAAATGACACATACTACGGACAGAATATACGAGATGAAAAATATTCACGGAGAATGCGGAAAAGGCAACCATACGGGAACAGGGATCAAGATCGTTGCTGATGTTACAGAGCAGGTTATCGAGTTTTTGAAGGTTTCCATCTTTTTCTAGTATCCATTATCGACGTAAAGTGACATTAAATAACAAACTGAATTTACCCTTTTACTCACACGGCGATCGGCCATGGCACAAATTAATGTTTCTTCTTTCTTCAACCTATCGTGCATGACTCCTCCCAAAATTTCCACAAGTACTGATCACGATCGACCGAGAATATGGTTCTCGAAGCTTGATCGATATTTGCCCCTCCAATTTTTCGTAAAACAGGACTCTTATGCGAGTGTCTACCGTAAAAAATAACTCAGCTTCTGATAATAGTGCAATATAGTGACAATTGTAATAGAAGAATGGCAAGCTTACTAAATTAGAACTGTACTAAAAGCTACAAAAGTACAGTTGTATAACCAAAGATACATAAGAACTAAGAAATGAAACTATATAAATATCAACATAGAAAAATATTAATATAGAATGACACTGAAGTGATAGATTTAAAAAATTGAAAGGCTTTTTCGTTAAAAACAATCATTATAATTGTATAGGTAAAATTATTATAGGTACAAAGCTTAAAAATCTTGTTGAAGTATAGTTGAATACAAAATATGTCTTGTTATAAAGATAAAATGTAGACAAGTATAATTGGTATAACAGTATGTTTACTTTCTAAGTATTTTTATTTAAGTCTAAATCAGCACTATATACATTGTTTAAAAATCTAGGTTAATATTATTTTATGATTCTTAATATACAGTAAAACTCTCGATGACAGCATCATAGTTATAATTAAATAATAGAATTTGATATGCACATGTTTTAAATGTCATATTTATTTGCAGAATCCGTTACCAGAATATGCTTTATTAGAAGCTAGACAAGAAAAAATTTTAGCTCAATTAGCGGAGCTTAAGAAACAAGTATCTTCTCTTTGCAGTTTCTTAAAACATACAGATCATGTTAAAATGCCAAAAGAATGCAGTGAGAAGGTGATTATATATATATTGATTCTTATTACTTTATATGTTATTTTTTAAATAACAATGACTTAAGACAGATTATTTAATAATTTATAAAAATATTAACAGGAAAGTAATGTGCTTTCGAATCAATGCGAAAAATCTGAACCAATTACCGTTAATTTAATTATAAATGCAAATCCAAAGAAGCCACCATACTCCATATTAGCACTTCCAAAAGTTTGGAATGATATTAGTATCAAATTGCAATCATATGTTCATTCAAGTGTTATTGGAGATATACCTGAGTTAAATATCTGTGATAAAAATCCATCTAAAACAAATATAATCAATTTGTCTCTCATATGGAAAGAAGGTAAATTAAATACTAATAATAATATTACAAAATGTGCATATTTCTGTGGATTCAATTAATATGCATATTCTTATTATATTTCTTTTACAGTTGACGAGTTAGAATTTGTCACAGGATTATACAATTATTCTTTACTCGGCGAAGTTAATTTTTTAAGATACTTATGCAGGTTATTCCCTACACATGATTTTGAAAATAATATGGGTTCTATTCAAGCAAACTTATTTGATACTATACTTGATTATTGTTATTGTCTACAAATAGAAAAATCATCAAAGAAACAGCAAATAATATTTCAACATTTTACCAAAACATTAGGAACAAATGAATGGTTTGGCGTAAACGAACCAAACATTATTGATATTGCTGTATGGTCTGTAATTAAACAAATTTCTGTACAAAATATACCATCGAGTCTTAAAAAGTGGATTAATGCTTGTGATAAAACATTTAAGTAAATTCATCATCTGTACAATATATAATATAATATATCATTCGTGTTCTTCAATACTCTTTTGTATACTATATTGATATATTATAGATATATAATCTTTATAATTTATATATTTAAATTATGTGATGAAAATAGAAGTAAATATTTATATCAGAACTTTTCTTTAATCTTTTAATAAAATATAAAAGACCTTCTAAATAAATTAATTATAAAGTCGAGACAAAATTGTAAAAAAAACTACATAGTTTATTGGCAGTGGTTAAAGTTTTTTGTTTTCTATTTTAATAATTTATAATTAATCTTATTTTAATAATAATATAATTGTTTTAATATTATAAAAGTATAAAAATTGTATTATTAGGAATTTGGAAATAAGAAAGAAAAAAATTCTTTGCTTTCAATAGTTTATAAATAAAGTACATATTAATTAGATGGAATATAATGCATTGTACAAAAGGATGAAAAAGGTACTTAAAAATATTTATGATTAAGTTATTAATATTATTATTATAGGTAATACTGCTTTTTATCTAGTTCTTTCAAAATCTTATTTGCGCATTTTATACACGAATCATCATATTTAATAGGCACAATAATCATATAAAATAAACATCAAAATTTTACTCCTTTTTATCATTAATAAACTTTTTGTTTTGAATACTTCAATAAACAGAGATGTGAACAGATAAATTTGCAAGACATGAAAATACTAATTTTATTAAAAAAAAAAAAAAAACATTCAGTTAATCAACCTACTGACCAGCAGACTACTATATACTATTCAAACTTTGATCATCTTTCAATTTTTCCTAAATTTTAGACTCTAATAATTTTATTAAGTGCATTATTAAATGCAACAGTTTCATATTGCCATAGTGTATTTTATTCTTAAATTTATATGTTTATCTTTCTTATTTCCATTATTGTTTTTATAATATAACATAAGAGACACATAATGGCATAATTACATAATGGCTGTTGATCTTAGCTATATATAAAGCTATAATAAAAGAGAAGTTTTATTTGCAACTTAATTAAGATAAATGTTATTTCTTACATACGCATTTTAACATTTCAACTCATCGTTTTATATAATTGAATTGTTAACTTTTCAATTTGTATGAAATTTTTAGCTTTGTTAATGAAATCAAAATTACATATTTTCTAATCTAAAAATAAAACTGTGCTCTCTTATTGATGAAAAAAATCGTTTCTTATGTTCTACGAACACAATTACGAATTATTCTTAAATATTTATAAAACGAAGAATTGAAATAAATAATTATTTAAATAACATTTTAAAAATATTAATTTAGACTATTTTAATCATAAAAATTATTCGGATTCTTAAGATCAACATAAAGTATAAAACTTAATTCTTACATGTAATACATTCAATTTCCCTTTCAAGTAATATGTACAAATCACTACCTCACATATTTATAGATATATATATATATATATATAGATTTGTTTTTAAATTTATCAATCTGAATCATTTATCAGAGATATTTTAATGGATGTAAATAATTGTATATTAGTGTTCATTATAAATGGCATTTGATATTTGGAAAACACTTGGTATGATAATATGAGGCAGTAGTATGTATCACATGTGTTGATTTCTGATTTTATATGCTCCACTTCTACATTTTAGATTCTTTTTAATAATAATTTATAATTTTATCAATAATGTATAACAGTGAATTGCTAATAACATTATTTATAATAATTAAATTCTTAACTATAAGTTAAAATCCCAGATGAGTTACCAAAAAGTATTTTCATCATTACATTACTTGTATAAAGCATTCATTATACATATTATGTTTGTATATTTTTATATACATATTTGATAATAGCATAGCGATGAAATTTTTAAAGTAAATGATTATATTATAAAAGTTTTGAGAATTATCACATTAATTCTAATGAATGTTTCTTTTATTGATAATACTGTTTTCAAAAGAAGTATATGTATATTACATATATTTTAATTATCACCTGGAATTTTAATCTTATTTATTTTTGTCAGCATCGTGCACGTATATTTGCCTAAAAAATATTATAAAACATGGAATTTTTATGAATTAGTTCTACCCTGTCATTGATATATTCTTTCTACATTATATTTGTAGTTAGAAAGTCGTATTTTGAAATATGACGATAATAATGACATTTAATATAAATAGTAAGAAATGATATGATGGACGATATTATAAAATTGCATTTATTTTCCGATGTGAATACTTTGTTTATTTATATCTAAGAAAAAATTCATTAAGAAGTGGAAAAATGTTGTATATATGTAAATAGACTAAACATTTCAGACATTAATACAAAATTCATACTATTTTGTCATTCACAACCAATGCCAAAGCATAACAATTATTCTTTATCTTGCATCTCATATACCCTTATAAACATAGATCTCAGGATATTACTAAAAATTATTTTACATATGTTTTCATTGTCCTTGAAATAAGTAAGGAATGATAGTATAAAATAAAAGATGAATATTCATTATGTATACTTACAAATTTGTATGATATACTACATAGTATTATCGAATGAAAATTATAATATATTTGTATATGAGAAACAATATTGCTTTAAATGATAAATAATGTGTATATATATGAGCGCGCGCGTGTATCAATATATCACAATACGAGGATGTCAAAAGCTTTAAAGTTGAAGTTATAAACTCTACAACTTTTGCATGCGTAGAAACACTTGTAAATCCGTGTTTTCATATAAGTCTTTAACTCTATATAGAAAGAAGACATTATTCTAAAGTCATGTTTTAGATAATGCCATTTTAAAAAATCATGCTTTAGATATTGTCATGTTAAGGAGGAGTCACCTTAAATGTATTTAATACTTGTTTAATTTTAACTATTGCATTCTGATCAAATCATACGAACGATGAAAAACCAGGCAATGGAGCTCTTGATCGAGCCATATTATTCATAATGATTTGTCCACCATTTAAACTAACAACTGCACTACCTTCAGGTTCAGAATCAGTATATGAAGAATAATTCCTTACTGGCTTTTGACGTTTCCAAGATTGTCTTAACGAATCATTTACATTTGCATAATGATTCACAAAGGAATGTGGATCTGACTGTACACTTTCATTCTCACTCTCAGAACCCTGGAATACGTATAAGATATAATTATGAACGGATATATAAAAATTAATTAAATTATTATTAAATGACAAACACACAATACCTGAGAATCTGTAGAACTGATTTCTGAAGGTTTTTCCGTGACACTACTATCATCAGGATTTTCATCATAGCCTTTGAGACTTTCTTCATCGCTATGATAAGTGACTGAAGCAGGTGAAGGTCTAGGTGGAGATTTACCTAACATTGTAGGAGGAGGTGGATGAGCAGATTTTCGTGCTAATGTATTTCTTTTACTTAAAGTTCCACAAGTGTTTCCTCCACTTAAACCACTAACACCTCCTTGCCGAGATCGATATAGCTCTAAATCTGATTCTTGTCTATCATCAGTATCCATAGCCATAGACTCTTCAAGAGTCTTTTGTGCTTCTTCTAAAAATTATATAAGATTATGTTGCTATAGTGTTTTATTATAATATTTATAATAGTATTTACTATTAACTTACGTTTATATTTGTAACTTTTACTCTTCACGCATAAAACTGCTATAACCATAATTATAATAATGATTGATGTTGCAGCTAATGTTACCATAAACCAGGTTTGTCTATAGAATGGTTTATGTTGTAAATAAGCATATTCCAGGTATAACTTTGAAGGTGTCAAAATCTACAAAAAAAGTACATTTAAAAACATTAATTAATAAAGTTTATATGATAAAAATGGTGATGAAACACTCCTTTAAAAAAGCATAAATAAACAAATTACATACTGTTTCTGTAGAATACACTGGATAACTGATGCCATATCGATTATAAGATATTACTCTGAACAAATACGAAGTAGATGGAAGTAAATTTTGATAGGACACTGTGTATTCCGTCAAAGGTCCATTACTACTGCGAACTA